ATATATATAATATTAGATTTCTTATTTAAATTTAAGAATGAAATTTTTATGAAATGATATAAAATTTTTAATTACTTATTTATCTCATATTTAGAAATAAACTCTTTAATACATGAAATTCAAATGCATATAAAGAATAAAAGAGGCACATAACAATAGTATTTGATAAGTTCAATTTTAGAAAGACATGCGATGTATTCAATATACAATTGAAAAGTAATGATTTGCATTGAATTGCAATGAAAGTAATAATCGTTATCTGATCAAAAAATTTCAACATCTTATCACGATTAATCGCGAATTATTTAAACGAGAGAAGAAATTAAAATTAAATGCGATAATACTTTCTGATTTTAGTACGGACAGCGGCTGGGACAATCCATTCAGACCGGATGGCGATCTCTCTCGGGAAGCCGATGAGATCGTCGAATTAATAAAGGGTGGGAAACCGATCACGCCGACTCCGGGTCAGAACGCGCCGCCGTTACCAGGATGCGATGGCAAATCAGGCGATTCAAGTACCAGCCCGCTTCTTAAATCTGCGAATTGTCACGCTAACTCGTCACCGAGGCCCGGTCAGGAGAATGGCAGTGCACGAGGTGGCACTCCTTCGAAAATTGCCGGCAACCAACCTGTTAACGAAAAGGTAAAGTGTTGATGAAAAAGATGCATCACTGCTCGATACAACAACTTGTTCAATTTTTGTGTCTAATTGTTAATTTGATAGTATAATGTTTGCATTTAAATAAAAAACAAATACAATAAAAAATCTCTAAGAACCGATGCAAGATATTGTTGCGAATTATGATTTATTTTATATAATAATGCAACAAATGGTTTACGTTTTGATCTACCCTGGAAAAATATTTATTGGGTTGTCCGGAAAGTGCCGATTTTGAAGGAAAATTGAAATGCAGAAGATTTAAATTTTAATATACATTTATTAAATTTAAATCTTTTGTGGCACGAATTTTCCGGACCACCCAATATAATTACCTAATTATGCTGGGGTTTTTTAATATTGCAACATAGAAAATTACAGATTATATTAATTTTACATGCAATATATATTTACAAGATTCCATTAAATATGAAATTTTACATACAAAATGTAAAATGTAAAGGCGAGCAGACTTATTAGCCACTTTGCTTTATCCATTATTTTCTAGGCACGTTAAGTTTACAGATTCTGATTGGTTACAATAACATGATGTCCAGTAAAATCTGGCTAATTAATTCAGAGATAATTCCAGGATATTCCAGGTAAAAATCCTGGTTTTTTTCCAGGATTTATATCCATCGATTAATTTTCATTATTTAATTAATTTTCATCTTAATCATGGGTCGGAACGTAAACGATTTGTTGTATTATTATATAAATAAATCATAATCATTCGCAATAATATCTTGCAGCTCTTAAAGCTTTTTATTTATCCTTGATTCATTTTTTGAGTGGCACAATTTCATTAATTGTTCATATTTAAAGTTTGAAGGTCTGCCGAATTAAACTAGAACATTATTAGATACAAGAATCAAGATAAAAATGAAGATAAGTTAATCAGCCATTCGTAATGATGTCTGGTTCAGGTCGGCGCATCTCGGACTGCAACAGTGGAAGTTGCGAGGATGACGGCGCAGGGCCCGGGCGATGCGTCACAGGTCGAGCACGTTACCCTGAAGAAGAAGCCTAAGTGCAAGTGCTGCGTGCTGCAGTAATGATCGCGCGACGGAGCCAGCGGGGACGCGCACGAGAGACGATCCTCCTCCATTATCGGGAGCATAACTTCAGCTTCGTGGCTATTGAAGAAATCACAACTGGGCAACTCGAGGTATCGAGGACGCATCGATGAAGAAGCGACTCGAAGAGGATGCCGGAACAGGAAAGTGCCGGCATTCCAAACACGCTCGAGACCTAGAGAACAGGTCCAGAAGATAATTTCTTAGAGGAAGAAAAAGGTTTCGTCTTTAAAGAAAGTGAAGAAAGTGGAAACGAAATATTGGAAACGATGAGAATATGATTGGATATACGAGAACATCAGATTAGAAATCTGAAAAAAATGACACGAGCAGCAAGTCAAACAAGATGTCAAAGAAGCTTCTTGTATCTTTCAATCATGAAGAAAAGGGAAACAAGAAAGAATATTTTGATGGTAACAAGAGCAAATTTAATCGGAAGAAAATGAGGTAAGAGGCTATCGATATATATTCTTGTTGAGGAGATTGGAATCTCTCTTAAAATGCTCTGGAACATGAAGTTAACCCTTGCCGTGGAAGATTGGACTCTCGCCAGGCTATCTCTGGCTTTCAAACACGGAAAAGAGGGATCCACGTGGAGGATGAGACAAGGAACGTCAGTGCGCGAACATTGAACCGCTTTTCGAGAGACAATGATATTTTAATGATGTCACGAGAGAGACCAGAGTTAGGAAAGAAATGGAAAGAGAAAGAGAAAGAAAAAGAAATATATATATATTATACATACAAAACTATATTGTAGATACAGAATGGTAGCTGTATAGCTTATATGCTTTTACTATCGTGGTTAATAATCATCAAGATTATCGTGATTTAAAAAATGCATCGTACGCGTAGAGCGAGAAAGGAAAAGAAAGAATGTGCGAGAGAAAGCGCGAATGTGAATGAGAGAGAAAGGGAGGGATGATGAATAATATGACTATATAGGTGGGAAGAATGTGCGCGACGAGGCATGTAGGCTGCGTTTAGAGAGCGTTATCAATGTTTTTTGTATCATATTATCCTTCACATTCTAACGGTGAGGATAGAATGACATAAATAACGCTAATAACGTCTTCCCGAACGCAATTGTAAAGTTCCGCGGGACGTCATTCGTCCGTTAGATCTCGATGCAAACAGATATATCGCCGTTTCTGAGGAAGCTAACTTGGCAGCTTTGATCAATTTTTCTTTGCACTGCGAAGGATTTTCAACGCGTCGAACATCACTGTATACAGAGGGAGTGTGCCAAATATACCGCATGCTCATTCGCAAATTTCTGGATCAGTTTTCCTTCAGTGTCACATTATACCGTTTCACAGGTGCAACACATGTATGGCATATCCAACTCAACTTTGTTTATAATTTTTATAAAAATGAATACATTGAAGAAATTTTGTTAAACATAATTAACAACTTTTTTTCAATTAAAAGGATACAACAATATCTAACAAATGTATGTATTTTTATTAGTAAAAATATTATGAGTAATATAAACAGAAGTTTCGAAAAAAATCATTTTCGAAAAAAGCTGGATATGCCATATCGAAAGTGGCATTGAAGAGTTAATAATTTTACGCTTTATTTTTAATTGCTTCTAATTTAGAAATTAACTGATATGTCTATGATCGAGAGAGAGTACGCAGTTTTTGGCACTCTGTACAATAGATAGGCGTTTATTTTATTAAAGTGGTTCTTTAGTAAAGTATCGAAAATTTGAGGCACTTTATCAGTATCCATTCAAAATCACAAATATCTACATAATTTTGGATAAAATGTTAAAACTACGTATATATTTTAATGAATAGTATAAAATACACAATAGAATACAAAAAGTAATGAAATAAAAAGAAGTTGATTTCTTGTAAAATTTTCCAGAAAGCAAAGTCTCGCTTCAACAAAATCGAACAAATCTATGATCGCTTATGATGTCGGCAACTTTGCTATAAATTTGTCTTCAACGATTTCGAATATATTCATTGTAGCAATGCTACTTAGGTTGTTTTATATGACAATTTGGCAATGTTGCATCGTTGAATTACATTATAATTATAAGCGAGGTTTTTATATCGTAATTTTTTAAACTTTAGAGAAGTGGTAATATTTGTGTGTATTTACTCAAAAAAAGTGTCTCCGATCCTTACGTGGCACTAAGTTATACGTTAAAAGTTACATTTTCAACATTTTTTTCTCTCATTTCATCGTTAATCTACCTAAGAATTTTGCACGTATATCAACTTCGGCATTTCGACTTTATTATATAAAGAAGTTAGACATTTCTATAATAATTCGATTTACTAAAGAATCAACTTAAACGCATCGAAGAGTTCCGTAGATAAAATTTCTCTCTTTTTCCTCATCTATTATTTTATACAAAATTCTATTAAAAAATCATTATTCTGTTGCCCTTTTTCTTCACTTTTTCTTATCTTTGTTTCACTTTTCAAAAATTCATATTTCACATACAAGTAAGAGGCATTAATAATAGGATAGGCATCAAATATCTCTCCCCCATTTTACATTGAATGTATTTCGAAAACAAAATTCCTTTTGAACGATCGACGTTTCAAAAATACATATTTTATCGATAAAGATAAAAATATTTAAGTTCGTTAATTAGTTATTGTATTTTGATCATAATAAATCAATGAAGATTTTCGTAAAATTAAAATACAATAATGCTAATTGCAATAAATGTTATAAGTCGAATGTCCCTTCATATTTATTAG